ATAATTTTACCCGAGATTATACCATAACGAAAAATTCTGTGGTGTTTTGTAAACATTTTGAAGAAACCAAAAAAATTAGATTTGAAACAAACGAGGATGAAGGAGTAATTGGAGAGTTCAAACTAAAACGTCCAACTCTTAAAAGTACCTCTTATTTTCGAAAATCAGCTCAAGTATTTGAATACACCTGCCTTCCGAAAAAATCCCGAAGAAAGGAAAAGTTAGATTTTCAAAAGACATACTGAAACTGTCGAAAATTATCCAACTATGGAAGTTATATTTCTCTTACATAGGCCTTATAACACTTTAGAATTTAGAAATATATTTATTTAAATAGCTATATTATACATTGAATTCCTGTTTTTGACCCTTAAGTACGATAAATGATGCATTTTTTGTCATTCATATTAACAAAATAAAAAATATACTTATAAAAACAAACGGCAGCATCACCACTCGGCGGTAAGATTGCGGTGTTGCCTTTTTAACTTCATGGCTTGTTAACTGTAGGAGGCTGTGTAACTACCCTAACATCTACGTCATCATTTATCAAATTTCAAAATGACCATAAATGAGAGAGAAATTCAAAGAAAGTCTGTTTTTTTTTTTAAATATAATTCACCAAATCAAAAATTTAGTAACTATGATGGCAACACAAGCCTTTTCTACATAAAAATTTGAAAGCATTGACAATCTCACATTGTATTGCCAACATAATGTCATTTTGACTTTTATCTTTTAAAAAAACAGACTTTATTCAAATTTAAATTCCTACAGATCTGTTTGTATTTTACGCTTTAAACATAAAACCAAAATGGTGGACGTAACTGTACGTAATATGGATGTTTAATATGTACCTACATAAAAGGTACAAAATTGTACGTCTTATGTACGTTCTGAATAGGTCATATGACGTACGGACGTAAATATGACATAAAATGGACGTTTTAAGTATGTAGTGTGTTTGCTGGGATGTTTACCGTACACCGTTCTAAGTTTACCGTAAACCGTTCAATGTTTGCCTTTTTCCTGTTCAATATTTAACGGACACCGTTCAATATTCAACGGACACCGTTTCAATGTTACCGTACACAGTTCAAAGTTTCCGGTACACACCGTGTGATGTTTACCACCATACACTGTTGAAAGTTTGCCGGTCACCGTTCAATGCTTGAAGTTCAACGTTCAATTTTTAACGGGCACCGTTCAATTTTTACAGGGCACGGTTCAATACAATGACATTACACTAATGGACTGGCCCTGGCCATATATTCTCGAACAGCGTTTGTTTGCAGTCAACATTAGTAAGAGAGGTCCGAGAGAGAGATAGAGCATAGATAGGTGGCAAAAACTAAGCCGTCAATGTCAACTTCTTAATTATTGATCTGACAGGAGAACCTTGTAACGTCAAATAAAATATTGCTGACAAAAGTTTCAAAAGCTTTATTCAAATATTCAAAACTTCAGATTTTAAATTAAAAAAAAAAATACGGTGTGTGCTCAAGATCACACGACAGAGGAAACATCACAGATGCTTGACAATTACAGCCATATTGAATCCTGGTATTTGTGGTTTGGATCAAAGTCGTTTGAAAGAGGTAGGTTGCCTGATAACTTTTATGACGTCATCTTTATGCTTAAACATAATGCAAATCTCCATAAGAACCACCTCACGACGCCATTACCAGACACCTATCACGAGCAATTAACATTTCGCCAATGATATCGGCGACGTCGCCGAAATTTGTCCTACGTCTTGATTGAATCCTAATGGCGCTATTGCTTTCTCTCTCTCGCTTAGCTCAACTCGATTCGAGCCGACTGTATCCGACCGAATGAGCGTTAAACATTCGGGGGTGACGGCAAAATCTCATTCACTACCTGGAAAAATTTTTGTGCTGAACTCACCCAAATAAGTTTTCACTTCAATAATAGCGTAAAGTATTTATGGTTGGACTCTATTTTAAGACCCTAATATCCACTTATACCTAAACATACCTACTATTATTTTCCCTGGATAATTTCAATTGACCGTCAATGCTGCTCTCACGTATACCAGTCTGGCAAGTGAACATCTTACACAATTTAAATGCAATAGAATGAAATGTCTAGAAAAAGTCTAAGGTTAAATAAAGAACGGAAACGATTTCTCCTCTTCCACCACCGCACCATTCCCAGCGCTGCATGCTGGAGGTGGAACATGGAAAATCGTTTTCGTTCTCTATTTAAACTTAGACTTTTCCTAGGCATTTCATTCTATTGCAATAAAATTGGCCTGTAAGATGCTGACTTGCAAGACCTGTATAGAGTGCTGCTTAGGGGTAGTGTGTGTTCATAATCATGTAATCCCAATTTAGGGAGACTCCATTTGTCGGAACATTGGTAAAAAAATTAAAATGTAGGTAATTTATTTAGTCATAATATCTTCGTTCGCTTGTATCTTCAGGGAGAAAACTTGCAGGAATTTTTATGACAGCGATGCGCACATCCATCTCTTTCCAGGGGATTTATTGCACTTGCAGCAATTAGCTCCTGACCTATTTTTTTGGCATTTGCGTATGGCATCAAAAATTGGGGATAAAAAAAGCAAACTGTAAAGTCGTTAAGGCTGTATAAGCTTGCAAGAAAACTTGAATGCAATATTTTGCATGCAAAAAAATTGCATTCAAGATTTCTTGCACGTCGTTTTACACCTTGCAATTTGACTTGTTTCCTTCTGTAACCTTAACCATGCTTTCTTGTTTTTAATTTTGTGTTGTTGATGTTTGCATTTTCCAAATATGAAAAAAGTGATAATAAGTCGATATAAAAAGACAAAAGCAATAGCAGCAACTTTAAGCATCATAAATGCTAAAGGCCGTTTTACAGCTTGCAATTCTATCTGCAATATGCAAGAAACTTGAACGAAGGCATGCGCAGAAGTGAGTCAGCTGATTGTTTTCTGCAAGATTCTTGAAACTAGAATGGCATTGCATGCAATCGGTTTGGTGCCATTTTTCTTGAAGATTTTCGTGCAAGCTGGGGAATTTTCAGCAATTATGATGATTAAAGTGGCTGCTATTGCTTTCTTCTTTTTATATCGACTTAAAATAACTTTTTCCATTTTTGGAAAATGCAAACATCAACAACACAAAATTAAAAACAGAAAAGTATGGTTAAGGATAGAGAAGGAAAAAAGTCAAGCCTTAAGGCCGTTTTACAGCTTGCAAGAAAACTTGAATGCAATTTATTGCATGCAAAAAAATTGCATTCAAGATTTCTTGCACGTCTTTTTACACCTTGCAATTTGACTTGTTTCTTTCTCTAACCTTAACCATATTTTTTTGTTTTTAATGTTGTGTTATTGATGTTTGCATTTTCCAAAAATAAAAAAAGTGATTATAAGTCGATATAAATAGAAGAAAGGAAAAGCAGCAGCTTTAAGCATCATAATTACTGAAAATTCCCCAGCTTGCACAAAAACCTTCAAGAAAAATGGCACCAAACCGATTGCATGCAATGCCATTCAAGTTTCAAGAATCTTGTAGAAACCAATCAGCTGACTCACTTCTGCGCATGCCCTCGTTCAAGTTTCTTGCATATTGCAGATAGAATTGCAAGCGGTAAAACGGCCTTTAAAAATTCTCCAGCTTGCGCGAAAACCTTCAAGAAAAATGGCACCGAACCGATTGCATGCAATGCCATTCAAGTTTCAAGAATGTTGCAGAAAACAATCAGCTGATTCACTTCTGCGCATGCTTTCGTTCAAGTTTCTTGCATAAGGCAGATAGAATTGCAAGGTGTAAAACGGCCTTTCAAATTTATAACAGCAATTAACTTGCAGGTAGAAAACTTGCAGGAAGGAAAAAAGCGAACTGTGAAGCGGACTGTACATAGGATTGAATTCATACTAACATGGAAAGGTTGAGGGGTAGTCAGAAGCAGGAAAATACCAGTGGCGTACACTCGATCGACCTACGAATGGAGAACCATACGAAAATATACAAAACAGTTCAGTCCGAAAGTGAATTTTTTTTTTCTAAGAAAAAGAAAAAAAAAGGTACTCCAGTTTTTTCCCTAAATACTCATTTTCGGTAGCCTGTAGCCTGAAATGATTTTTGTGCCGCAATAAAAAAAAAAAAACAACCCTTTGAAATGTACTTATTTTCCATATCCTATGACGTCACACATGCTTAATATATCTATATATACAAAACTTAATATTTGTATAACTTTCGGAATAATCATATTTGAACAAAATAAAAAAATACGTAAGTATCGATTTTTTTTCGATTTCCTACAGTTTGCAATAAACAATAATCAATTCAATTTTTCATGCAAGGTCCCTATTCGAAAAGGCACATATGACAAAACTGTCTAAATTAATTTGAAAACTTTGGTTGCCTTTATTTTATCCTATTTTTTTTTTCCGAAAAATCTTAACTTCTAATGGAATTAATAATATGTACTTTTTATGACTTTGAAATGGCACTCTTATATTTTTTATTTTTTTTTATTTTATGGTTAATGTAAATATTTAACACAAGAAATACACATTCTGTTAAGATAGAAAACAAGAAAAAATTGAGATAGTAGGTATCTTTGAATACCTATCGCATTAAAGCGCCCGATAAAGGATTTGTGAGATTTTTCTGGGAAAAAATTAAATCGGCCATATTTTGAAAAATTGGGAACCATAAGACTAATTGGTGCTAGGTAAGTTTGACTAAATAGGTTCTAAATGACTTAATCTATCACCTCCGAAAACATATGCATCGACCTACCAAACGCCCTCTATAGGAGTGCATACAACCAGGGCCGTATCTAGACCAACATTTTGGGAGGGGGGGGGGGTTACACAAAGTGGCAAAAAAAAATTGTTACACTAGTAATAAAAATAAAAAAAATAAATAAGTACCTACCTATTTAATAAGTGTTGTTTGTTTTTAAGTTAAATTTTTTGAATTTTATTATTTTTCGGGGGGGGTTTGAACCCCCAACCCCCCCTCCTATATACGGCCTTGCATACAACTTTACTTTTTCAAACACCAAATTAAAGGTGGTAATTTTATGCTCTACAAAAAAGTCAGTACTTCTAATATTTTTCCATAAAATCGATAGTTTTGCTGTGAATCGTGAAAAAAAAACAAAAATCAACGTTTGGGGGTTAATTTCTCCCCTCCTAAGGGATGATTTGTTTGGCTTCCCCTGTTCAATAATTCCTATGGATCTCTAGTTCCAGATAAAAAAAAAACATCTTTCCGCCTGAAAAACTAGATACAAAATCTTTCTTTGACCAAAACCAAAACAAGAAGAAACTGTCAGATATATACCCCCAATGCCAATTTACTCTGTTCTGTTCACAGTATTCCACCATTTCCACCATAGTAGTGAGTCAGTCTGTTATATTCTACGCGTGTAGACAGTCGAGTCGTACGGCACGATCATCTCGAGAAGAAAATTACGCGATCTCTTCGTTGTGACTTTGCGCGTTTGCTACTTACTATCGCACTTATACGTCGTAGTGATTGAAAAAAAAAAATTGGATATTTTATATCTGCACTGCATTATCTAATTTTCTTAGTTTTGTTCTTGTAAGTACCTACACACTTTTTTTCCATAAGTATTTTTAATTCTTCAAGCGCGCCACATTATTGAAGATCTAATACAAAAGATTGTTTTATTTTTAAAAAAATTCTGACAACAATATATTTTTGTCAAGATTTTATTTTTTATTTTATTTGTTTGCCATGCTACAATTATTATTTCCAGAGATAGGTCATAAATTAATAAAAATAATAATACCGCAGGTCTGACCATAAAACCAAAGTCTATAAAACCATATAATAAACCTGCAGGCATCCTTGCGCCCACATCCATCGCAAATTTGCAATACAAAAAAATGTCCCATGACATAAGTGCTAAAAAGTCTGTTTGTATTTTACCGTGGACACGGGACTACCCAGTTACCACAATTAACATATTCCATATTCCTAACACATATATTCTCATAGTGTTTCCAAAACGAGTTGATAAAAATTTTCAGGGTCGACGCGACTCTAACGACTCTAATTAATTACACTTATGTATTTGAAATTCTAGTTTTATCATTATTCAAATAATAGGTTTTAAAATTTTCCTCAATTTAAAAATAAAGCGCACAATATTGTGATTAAGTAAGTCTAATTTTTTCAAAAATGGCCATTAATTACTATAATTAACAGCAATCAAAGCATTGTTCTTTATTACTATGTTAACTTGATATATTATTTAATGTTTATTATTAAATGAAGGCATAAATGATTTATGGTTTGAAACTGAAAAACAAGAAAATATTGATCTTTGAAAGGAGGCGGAATTTAATTTACAGAGGAAATATCCTCATATGAGTACAAGTTTTTCGAAATCACCTCTATTCAAATACCAGAAAAACTTCTTCGGCCAATTTTTTAGACATTTTGATATTGAACTTTTCTTCAACAATAAATGAAAAGTTTTTAGATTAAAATTGAAATAAATATATGGGAATGTTGCATGAATAATTATCCTTATTCAAATAATTTTAGTTTATATTATTATCTATATCTCTATCTATATTAGGCCTAGTATTTTTACTACACAAGCGAACTGGTACCTGATTCATAAGTGGAAATTTCTTAGAAAATTACAGCCGTAATTTTACGTCTTTTCTTTTTGTGTCCCATTTTTATTTATCTTTATATTCGAGCAAACAAATCCTGTAGATTTATGAACACTCTTTTCTAAAATGGGTTTAGAAAACAGGCAACCTTGCATCAAATTTCACTGGTTTTAGTGGACTCATTAAAGTCTTTTAATCCTGCAAGCTTACTTAAAAAAGTATTGATAATTTTTAGTTTCTTCTGGTAACACCGAGAGTACCTAATATAGGTACTCAATGTATCATTAATTTAATAATAGTTATTTATGTCATTAGGCCAAGAATTGGGTTTTTTAATGGTGTCCGGAGCACTTCCTTTCTAAATAATAATGACTGAACTATTCAAAATACAGAAACATGCAAAATAAATGTGGAAATTGTGAATGAATCTATAACCTCAACGTCAGAAAGAAAATTAATAGTTCGAAAATCGTCCGTACTACAGAGTTTTTTTTACTAGTAACGTGAGAAATAGTCATTATTCAATTTATTTTCCTTAGGAAAAAATTGAATTTCTCTTCCTTGGTCAATAATGAAAGTGACGTCATGACGCAAGCATATCGTCGTACCAGTATTGGTTTAATTTCAATTTCAACCTGTCAATTTAAAAAAAAAAAACAGGTTTCTGTATGTAAGTACATAGGAAATTATCATAAGCTTTTGATAGAGGCAGTACTTTCCAGAAGGCATTCAGAAAAAAGAATTTGAGCACACATTTCAAACCCATTTTTTATTTTCTACTAGCAGTAGTAAAAAAATATATATACAGGGTGGCCATTTGAAAACGAAACAGAGGTGATTTTGGGTTCCTCAAGAGATTTAAGAAAAAACCCTCGAACCCGTCGATTTTTTATTTAAGGGGGAACCATTTTTTTGGAATTTTCACCACCTGGGGGGCAAAGCCCTAGCTAGGGTGACAAGGGCCCCCAAAATTTTAAATGGAATGAGGGGTCGAGTGATACCTTATTTTGAAGCTATTTTTATGTACATTATAACCCCTAAGTTTCACATCGCTACTATTTACCTAGCCATTACAAGGGCTAATTGAAGCTACAAAAATATGTTGGGATATTTTGTATTTGAAAAAATGCTTTAAAACCAAAATCAATCAAGTAAATGCTGGAAATGACCCCAGAAAAAAAAATCTAACGGGCTTAAATCTGGAGAACCTGGGGGCCACTCAATAGCTCCTCTCCTTCGAATCGATTGTCCTGAAAACATTTGGTCCAAATATTGACGAACCACTGCAGCATAGTGGGGTGGAGCACCATCTTGTTGGAGTATTAGACGGTTTTCCATGTTTTCCAAATTTATTGAGGGGGAAGGTTTTTCACGTAAAACTGGACTTCGCCTCTCCAACCCTCTAAGCCCTAGGGCTACCTCCCCAAAATTTTTGAATGAAACACTAACTCGACCCCCTGTTTCATTCAAAAATTTTGGGAAGGTAGCCCTAGGGCTTAGAGGGTTGAAGGGGCGAAGTCCAGTTTTACGTAAAAACCCTTCCCCTTCAATACAGTTGACGGGTTTTGGCGATTTCTGCAAATATGCCTCTTTACGCAGATAACGTGGGTGGCAATTTTTGAAATGGAAGCCCTGTATTTCCAGGTATAATACGTGCGAAATAACGTCCTAGGGCGTTATGGAAATGTAGATTACTTGAGCGTTTGAGCTAGTATTTTGGGTAACCGTGGTCCCTCTTTTACCTATAAATTTAATAGGAGAAATGTACCCAGAGTGGTTAGAAGATGCGATTCATCCAGAATTGGTGGAGATACTAGAGAATGCTAACGGATACATGGAAAACCGTCTAATATTTCAACAAGATGGTGCGCCACCCCACTATGCTGCAGTGATTTGTCAATATTTGGACCAAACGTTTCCAGGACAATCGATCGATTCGAAGAAGACGAGCTATTGAGTGGCCCCCACGTTCTCCAGATTTAAGCCCGTTAGATTTTTTTTTCTGGGGTCATTTTCAGCATTTACTTGATTGATTTTGGTTTTAAAGCATTTTTTCAAATACAAAATATCCCAACATGTTTTTGTAGCTTTAATCGGCCCCTGTAATGGCTAGGTAAATAGTAACGATGTGAAACTCAGGTGTTATAATCTACATAAAAATAGCTTCAAAATAAGGTATCACTCGACCACTCATTCCATTTAAAATTTCGGGGGCCCTTGTCACCCCAGCTAGGGCTTTGCCCCCCAGGTGGTGAAAATGCCAAAAAAATGGTTCCCCCTCAAATCAAAAATCGACGGGTTCGAGGGTTTTTTCTTAAATCTCTTGAGGAGCCCAAAATCACCTCTGTTTCGTTTTCAATTGGCCACCCTGTATATTCTTCGTTAAAGAATGTCATTAGGTATATACCTTACGCATTATAAACCTCGGCGCTTCGCGCTTCGGGGTATAACAGCGCTCGGTACATAATGACCAACTTCTCCACCTAGGTAGGTATATAATATACTATTTTGGCCCTAGGAACATAATGGATCACTTCTGTATGAGTGTTGACGACAATAAAGTTCAAATTATGGACCGCTTTAAGATAAAAATGATTGCATATTATTTTAATATAGGGTTAGGTCTACCAAAAAACTTACCTTGTCAGATTGACAGTTCGGTAGTTTAATAAAATCTGTTCCAATCAGAAAAAAAATTCGAATGTGTGGAAAATAGACATTTAAATACTAAAATAACAGGGTTATCGTTTAAGTAATCTGAAAAGTGCAGCTAAACCGAACAAGTTTCAATGCTGTATTTCTTATTTCGCATAAACGCATAAATGATTAAAATTAGATTCGTGTAGGTATACCTACCTAAGCGGGCAACAATAGGAACTTTCGACTAGGACTTCTAAATTAGTTTTCTTGCATAAAAAAGAAAAAATATTTTGCTTCATGTAACTTTCAAGTGCAACAAAAAATTAGAAATACCCTGGTATAATGGCTCAAAATTTTGAAAGTTATTTGAGATTTATATTGATTTTAGGTCTATACAAAATGCGTTTTTTGAGACCAAAAGAAAACACAATCTAAACATACAAACAGAAAAAGACCTTTAAAAAATAAACGATAAACGACTTCTTATACATATACAAACCAAACTTTGTAGAGAAAATACCGCTAGTTTTCTTTCTTTTTTTGTTTATGTACCTAATAACAAGTCTGCTGTATAGCATGAATAATATTTTCACAATATTCTACCATATTCACTAATATGATTGGATAAGTTTTTGTACAAAGACACTGATTTATGCCATCTTGTATCTGTTCTAGCTGCAAAGAGCAATATTGCATGCCCATCTTTTATTATGATATTGAATATAATGGATCCATTATGTAAAACCTTTTACATCTGGCCTGTGGATTACTTATCTCAGTTAAAAGGCATCAAGTATTAAAAATTAAATCAGCATACTGCATAGTTAGATAATCAGTATCTACGTTGCGATGTAGTGGTAGTGCCTATTTTGGGCACTACACTGTACACCTTCACAAAGAACAAGATAAAGAGGACCATCAGATATGCGGTTCCGAGAACTATTTTCGGTGAACTTTGACTTTTCGTTTTGATGGAGCGACCATGTGTTGAACCGTGCACCTTTTTTGGGCACAAATCCAAAAAAGAACATGACAACCCGACTGGCCGTAATTTTTCACCGCCCGATTCTTTAATTAAATCAGTCTTTCAGGAGGTGATTGCGATGCATAATAAATAAGGTTTTTTTTTTTGTCATATAGTTTCAGTAAAAGTTATATCGAGAAAAGACTAGCTCATACTTACATTATTCAAATTCGAACTTCTCATCAATAATAATTAAATTATTCTGTTGTAGATGAAAATATCTAGGTACAAAACGTGTTATTCTTATTAACATTTTATTACAATCCTTTTAAAGCAAAAATAATCAATCT